TGGCATCTGGCTAGTGAGATCTAAAGATCGAACTGATTGGCTTCTAACTACTCAAGTTGTTCAGTAAGTAGTATATCCCATAATATATAGCATACTTTCAAAAACACATAAGGCTCGATTTAGTTCCCTATTTATCATATTACGGAAGGTGGAAAATTCACTCTGTGGCTAACATACATACAGTAACGTCCACCTATTTAAGAGTTATTTGTAAAACTTAAGCGAGGAAATAGTTATTGAGATCATCCTATCTAACATATCAAACTCACTGATGTTGTAACAGAAAGGGAACTTAGGTGATTGTGCAGACAGACAGGCTGGTGAAATCAATGCAGGACCTCACAAACAAGTGCATCAGCTCAAATTGCCGCACTTCACAGTGGTATACAAAAACAGATGGATAGAAAACGCCTTAGGAGACGTCAAACAGCGAATACATTTGCGACAGTGTCATCAGTTTTAAGCCATACCACCAACAGTCCTCAGCTGTTCATTCCTTTCATCTCGGGAACCCCAACCAGATATTCTACATTTCCCAACAGTAAGAGACTTCACTGAGTGGTACCACGTCTTGGTTTGGCCACCTGAAACCGTATTTCAACTTAATCCAACTAACGTTGCATCTCAAGATAGGCAGTGGCTAGACATGAGCAACACATCCAAGCCACTTCAGACAATGAAGGTTCACAGCCTCATCAATCGATTTGCTTTCCTTCCCTAGTACTCTTTGCCCGACCTCAACATTGCTAACACGGTGATTCCACCACACGCAAGCAATGCTACAAAAATACTTATGATTAAAACCGTGTAACCACTTCATGTCTTCTACTTTGAACAGCCATATTTCAGATGTATAACATGACAGAATGGACTGCAGCGCAGTGTACTCATTTTTTGATAGATAATCGAGGTAACTGTACAACTTCAATCTGTCTATATATGGCATTGTAATACAGGGCTTTCAAAATGTCAGTATACTTCTCGACAAGTTTTCCACATTATTTGAGTGAAATGAAAGCAGCTCTTATACGAACAAATCAGCATAACAACTTCTTAATGACACAACTTCCAATAGTATTCCAGTATTTGGTCAGTGTGAAAGTCAACTAGCTTGTTCCTCGTGAAAACCATTTATCCTTGCATTTTACAGTCTGTAAAGTATAATAACATATTTTTCAGTTACAAAGAAGGTGACAGATATCCCTTTCTTTGAGTGTTAGGAAGATGAAAGTTAGAGAAGACGATGTATTATAGAGGTCAGTTCAAACCAGTGCGCTACCGTTTATGTGAAGTGCCCTTATGTTACACAATGAGCATAATTTCGATTAGGTGAAATGATATCCACCTCGGTGTACTAGGCAATGAACCACACCTATTGTCTGAGGGCTGATAATATCATTTGACTTCTTAGACTTTGGCAGGTGGAATGGGGTTCGAACCTATGGCTTACTGATTGAGAATCAACTGCATAAATAAATCTGAATAACCCTCATAAGATGATGCAATTGTAAAAGGAAATCAATAGTGAAAACAACTTCAAATATTTCTTTTTGAATAAACTTAACTTGTTATCACTCTTATCCTGGATGGATTATTTGATCCATTATGTAATTCTTGATGCCTGAATGCTTTTACTGAACTGTTGAAATTCAACAAATTACAAGAAAATATAATACAGACATTGAGTGTACTGCTAGACGAATGCATATGAGGTATGCTAAGTTCTTCTTGTAACGAGTAATTAGCTCATCAGTGTAGTCGTAAGTTGACAAGTGCGCTTTTCATTTGACCTTGAATAGTGTAAATATAAATATGCGTTAACTTCAAGTCAATTTAACTGAAGTAGAAATTAAAGATTACCTTATAATCGTTGAATGTGAATCAGTAAACTTGACTTTCAGGTGAACAAGCAAATTTCTATGTTACAAAAGAAGGCAGTTATTAGTTTCGACTAGGTTGTTTGAGCTTCCACTTGTTTCTGTTACAATAAATAGCGTTTTAATAAAAGTCTTTTCTGGCCTGTGTGAAATTTTTTTGTGATTACCAACAAGACATTTGCAACCATTTGCTTTAAATACAATAACATTTTGTGTTGTTTGCCTTCGTTGGCAGGATCGAGTTGATCAGTCTCAGTTAGCATACGGGCTCCTACGTGGATGACTCTATATTGCCTTAAATTTTAGTTTGATGGTAATAATGGATAGTGGCTAACAGTGGAATGTAGGACTCCACAATCTCTACTGAATATACATTTTTGATGGATGCCGTGTGATACCAACAGTCATACAAATACGTTTCTAGAGATCAGATAGCAAACTATAGCACTGCAGTTAATGGTCACAGTTAAATATTTACTATTTAGATGATTAGAAGCATCTGATAAAAAGTCGTGAACCTAGTTTACTTACTACTTGGCACTTGTCAGTGGGACGCATTTGCAACCTTGATGGAGTTCATGTCCCCTAGGGGATTCAAACTCGCTGGCACTAGCTTTATCTTTGAGCTGTTTGAGTCATGACTAAACTGCTGTAGTCGCTAGAGAGTAACCAATCTTATCTTGTCTAGTTGCTGATTTCGTAGTGCGAAGATAAGCACTTGGTATGGAAAACGCCCAACGTCCAATTTCCTAATAATAGATAGGTTAACTTAATTTGAGGATAATAAATAAAATAACCTCACTGATTACATAACTCTTATCTTGCTGGTAAACGTGTCGGTTACTGTGAAAACTTACTTTGTAGTGGGCGTTGCTGTTAAGAATGCATATAAGTAGTATATGTTGAGAGGATAGCAGAAATCATAGAGTATTACCAGCAATGGGTAATGATTCTGCCCAGAGAAATGCAGGAGACAACGGCAGTGTATTAAGAGCAAATCAAGAGAGAAGCAGAAAAGGAAATGAAGCACATTATGCAAATGACTGTCTTAGTGCAAGGTGTACCATATTTAACGACTACTGTACCACCTGTTAATCATCAACGTTCATTCCTTTGACTCTGTCTTCTCGTTTCCATCAACCTGTGTCATGAAACAGTTTATTTCTATTAGCTTGTAGTACTGACTACACAGAATCACTACACTGAAAAGACCTTAATTAGTTCAGTTTTCAACTGCCTATTGTGTCAAGATGAAAATGATACGACTTTATACACCTTCAGTCTGTAGCGTTAGTAACATAAAAACTCTCAAGTTGACGATACAGCAGTATCAGAAAACCACATGAAAACTCTAATATCACTACAATCTCTTTGTCTGCATTAGTTGCACCTAATTAGAAAAGGACTACGTAAAAACGTAATAACAGTGGTGTAGAATAGCTAAGCTTCTACATTCTTTTCTATTATGAATTAATCAACGAGACGTCTATATCAGTTAGTGTATAGGACAAATTAGTAACAGCCTACATAACGAAAGTGGTAGTGGTCACCTAGCTAAGTCTCAGCATACCTATGCAAGTATCAGTATATTGAAAGACAAGTATACTGACTACCTGAAACATAGACAATCAGAATATTATAACACAAATGATCTCATTTTAGCTGGTATATGAAGGTGGCTTACATTTCTCGACTACCTGAACAGTACACGGTTACTTTTCTGTTAGGTATTCAATAAAACGAAGTGGTTCAATTGAGAGGTTTTCGGAGATTTATTTATTGATTTCAGGATGGTATTCATCACAGACTGTTATCAGGTGGAGTACTATTGAAAACATGAGAGCACTGGATAGCTGTTTCGTCGCAGTATGCGACTTCTCAGCAGTGCGTACTCATGACCTCATCAAGGATAGCACCCAAAGCTCTCAGACTTCCAATAGTTCTCTAACTAATATCAGTCTGTGATATATTTCAACCTGAAATCATTAAATAAATCCCTACAAAACTCGAAATTACTGTCCAGTGCGCATTTTTAACTTACTTCGAGATGAGATTTCTAAAGTTCTAATAGGAAGTCATTACCGATAGGGCAAAGTCGAACATGAGAGCAGTTATTCAACGACGGTATTGCATGGAGGTTGCACTATATCGTTAACTGACATTAGTAGGAAATGTGGACCACTAGATTCTGACCCAGTGGCTCGATGTTAACGTGCTGACAGTAGAACTTAAAGGTCCTGAGTTCAAGCCCCACCAAGTTAAGCATGCGTGGCCATTGTTGAGGTGTAACACACTAGGACGGAACAGATGTACAGAACTTGAAGGTCTTCACTGCTTTTCTAAGTCATGTCAGTTCCTCATGAATACCAACGTCATAACAAAGTGAATACGGTACATTTTCACTATGATCAAAGATACAACAGAAGAATGAATAATCGAGTGTCTGGGGAAAAAACAGGATAACTTGTCACTGAAGTGACCGAATGGAAGCAACTCATAGGATAACACGAGAACGTTAGTAACGCAAACACATGCTTGGACTGGATATGCATAAGAATGAGAAGAGGAAAGATAAATCGATATAACTGTCCACTGGTAGAAGATGCCACACTTCATAATGAAACAGATAATCAACGAATAGGAAGTGAGAGAAAAGCACTTTGAAGAACTCATTATTCCACAGTTTATCTTCCTTCCATTTGATTTTTTTTAAACGGTAAAGTATATACACTAATGACTGCCGCGAACAGTTGAAAGTCACTAATATACGATAGTTAACTGTTGAGCCTGCGTTCATGTAGGAGCTTGACTTATTACTGATCAGTGTGACTGAATTTTCAAAAATGTTCCCTGATTGGTAGTAAAAGAGGCCATCCCCTAAGCAACCTTCAACGCCGCCACCGTCACCAATTTAAGGAAGAGTACTAGTTAATTGGACCAGAGAGATAACTTTCAACCAGTGGGTCACATGTTCAAACTCCTCCTAATCTACCAAGGTTTGGGAAGCCAGTTAATAGTTACATTAGCCTTCACACAATAGGTGTGGCCCATTGCCTCCTGCACAAATATGTAAGTACATTTTTTCCATTCGACCAATTTCAGGTGGGGTGAGGAAACAAAAGATGAAAACAAATTCGAAATAATTTTACTTTCTCCCTTGATAATACTTTTTATCTTCAACCTTTATTACAAGATATATAAAACAGAACGCACTTATAGAAACATATACGCACAAAAACAATGAGAGGACACAAAATAAGCAAGAAGTATGTAAGAGAGAAAGAAAAGAAAATAAGAATCAATGCTCGCACACAGCAGCAATAAGAAGTAATGAAAATTACTCTCTCTCTCTCTCTTGTGTTTTCTCTTGTCTTTTTATACAGACAAAATCTACTTAATACCGAATATTATGTAACAATAGCGATAAAAAAATAGAAGTAAGCAATTATTATCGTTATGATTATTATAATTATTATCAATCAACAGTTTAATCGATCATAAGGATGATCGTTCAGAGTACAAACAACAATGAGAGTACTCATCGTGAGGATCGATGGTAATGCTGCAGTAATTGCATCCAAAATTGTCTCTTACTGACAGTAGTAGAAGAAACAATGGATAATAACAAAAATCATAGTTTTAAGTTTATGCATCGACTGATTTTTTTTTACTGAAAAATCTCTGTACATAACAAACAAATTATATTAAGAAGAGTAGTTTAGTTATATCGCATACTACACCCTGTATATTCTATTCTAGAATAATCTCTAAAAAAAAAAGTAAGCTTCAAGAAATGAAATGATGAGAGTTTTCTAGGAAAGAAAGCAGGTAGGTGTAGAGAGCTGTACCAAATATCATGGAATTCAACAATCCCAAAAGTACCGCTAACTCATAGAAAAAGGATGAAGACAAAGATTAGGGGATTGTGATTGAGAGAAGTTTCGCACTTTTCTTCATCAAGAAAAAGGTTCCATGTATTGTAAAAATGTAAGCACACAGAAAAAGAATAACACAAACAAGAAGCAAAGCAAAAGATGACTTGATAAAAAGTACACCATAAACAACAGTTTTATATTCATTATATACTGTGTTCAGGCTTACTAAGCGAAATAAAATAACTGGACATCTTGACTACATATAATATTGATTCAATTCAGCATAAAAATATAACTAAAGACTGATTTCTTTAAGTTTATAATAAATAAAGGGATACACATGTTGTGTACTTAAGCGTGTGATAATCATAATAATAACAGTTCTTTGGTAATTATATATATATATATATATGCGCTCGTTTTCCTTAAATGAAAACAAATACGACTACGTTTTCCAATAATAATAATGGTAATAATAATAATAATATAATAGTAATAATAATAATAGTGATTATCATGAAACAACCAATCACATTCAGACAAATAGGGAGTGGGTGGATTGAGATAATTGCATTCCTATTGGTCAATATTTATTTCGAATAGTTTTCAATGAACAAAATCACATACACAGTAGAAATGGTCAAATGATGATGTTGAATGGAAGTTGTTTGTTTTACTATTGGTGTACTAATAAATAATGAATGGTGAGTAGTAGGACAAGAAGTAGCAGTTATAAGCTTTTGATATAAATCAATAAATCTTTATGTACTACTACTACTACTACTACTTTTAGCAAAACGTTTAATTCATATTGATCTAGGGAACACTAGAGGTTTATATATATATATATATATATATATATATATAATAAGTTACATTGTATCTTAGAGGTTAGATCTAAATTATAGCTAGTAAATCAACGATAAATGCGAAGAGAAAAATAATCTTTACAAGGAACATAAGGATGTACAATTTAATTTCTAGATTAAATTACTCTGATCCAAATAAAAAATATTCTTTTCAAGACTATTTAATCAAATAATTAATTACTAATTATTAGTTAATCAATCAATTTTCACTTTTAAAATTCTTTTATTATTACGCATAGTAATAATTAATTTATACTAGGGATATTTATTTTCTTCCTTTATTGGGTAAACAGTTAAAGCATGATGAATAAATTCATATTGTTCATTACTTTGTACCATTCCACCACGATCTAATCGCATACAACTAACAATTTTCAATACATCCACTATACCTTCTGTTTTGAGTTGTTCACAACCAATACATAAAGCAATAAAACAACCAGTACGTCCAAGACCAGCACTACAATGAACAACAATTGGTGCATCTTCATTTGATGATGATGATTGATTAATTTCCATTTTGTGTACAGATGGTATAACTAGTTTTGATCGATAGGATGAAGTATGAAAATATTGATGTGGATCAGGAGATAATTTTTTACAATAACCAAAATTTGTGCCTTCATCAAGATTATCTTGATTAAGTTGAAGAGATGATTTTGATAACTTTGGTGATAGTATAGTTGATTGTTTTCGGCAAGCTTCAACTGCTTTTACAAGTTGAATTAAACTTTGTGCAGATGTTGTAGTCTCAGGAGATGAATGATCTGGCCAAGCAACATACCAAAAGTGAACTACTTCTCTTTCTTCTGTACCACACTGAAATATCAGAGAAGAAAATTTTATGATAAATTAGTGGTAGACATGATGAAATTTATCTAATCTACTAACCATAAAAATAAGATAACTATCATGCCGATAGCTTATTATAGATGAGCAAAGATGAGCAAATAGCAATAAAAGAATAGTAAGTGAGGTCAAAGTTTTCTAACTCCTACTTCCTATAAGGAAGGAGTAATCAGCGTGGCACTACTAGTCATCTAAGAGAATCACCTTGCTGATATCACATCCCTTTCCAATCCCCAGTTAGACTTACACCCCTTCAGAACCCCATCATAGTGTAGTAATCTGAACTGCAACAGTAACTTCTTTTTTGTCTTACCATTATCCAACATACATTTCTGGGGTATGGCAGGACCTCGAAGGAACAAGCGTTCCACCAGCGTAGTTCCCATTGTAGCTCGTTGGGTCATTGTGATATGCAAGCCCAACCACAAAGTCAAGTAACAGCTATTGGTTAGAGAGGGGGTGGACCCCGACCGGGAAGTCTGAATTTCGTAACGTTGCTCATATGTGTTCATACGAGAGTTTTGAACACTGATGCATAACCAGCCTTCTTCTAACACTGAACAACACTACTTTAACAGATATATTATCTATCAAGGTAGATCGTAACTATTAGGGTATATGTAACACATTGTGTATTAGAACAGTATGATGTATTGAAGAAAATACACCTATTTGTTGTCAGTGTACTTTTGTAATGCCCTGTAATGTAAGGACAAGAAAATGTCTTCACAATTTCTTGTATTTGAACAAAGAAACGTTAATATAAGGTAAATAACCTATATCGTAGTGCCGGCTGCAACAAATGACTTAGTTGGAATCATGAAACGTATATATATATATACACACACACACACACAACAAATTCCAACTACATTACTTTTGTTTTACAAAGAAAAATATACAATACACTTTTAAAATCTGTTGAAATCAGTTCACTTTTAGGTAGTTTACAGGACTACTGAGCTGGTAACAATATGAATCTTGGCGTATTTACTTTTTCTACTCACCTTCTCTACAAAGCTGATTTAAAAACAGCCAGGAGTTTGAACCTAACTCCAATTACCGAAGTCTGAACAGTCAGGTAGTGGGTTTATTACCTATTGCATAATCATCTATGTAGTTACCAAGTGAATTTCGATTTAACATAGACAACACACTGCTGGAAATGAAGCGCTACTTGTGTTAGAGTATGTTAGAGTACCAAGGAGAAGAGGAGGAACAAGACTTTTAGTTCTAAATCGTGTGAAATATCGAGGATTAATTTGTTGTCATCCACTGACTATCAAATGTTTAGAGCTGAGGAGAATAAAATGATATCAATCGAAATCTATTTTCCACTCAGCAACCTTGTGATATCACTTGGCTGCCTGTACCTCGGTAGATGGACTGTTGTTCGAACTCACAACCCACTGAGAGGAAGTTAACATCTTAAGCCAATGGAGCCTCCACTCTATACCACAAAAGCATTCAATATGTATGTTGGTTTTCTTTCGCCGTGACACTAAAGAGAGTCTAACTACTTATATTAGCAAAAAGCTCTCGATTACTCAATTAAAAGAGAAGATAGGTGACTTGCAGCATTTAAGTCGAACAATATGAGTTAAAATAACTAAAAAATGTTTTGAATAGTTTAAGAAGCTAAGAAGAAAATGAATACAAACGAATATATAAAGTCACTGAAGTAGAACACAACCAAAGTTCACTTGCTCCTAGTATCAGTTTAACAAGTGTATACTTGATATAATCTTATACAATTACTCAAGCCAGATTTAAGTAACTTATTGCATGTCAAAATCAGGTTTCCATTTCATTCTTGAAAATAGACTATAGAAGATAGTTTTAACCGACATATTGTTCTCAGTATGCGGAGATAATGATTAAAGTTGATACAAAACTTGAGTTAAAACATAGAATTTGTCAATTAAAACTGTTGCCCTGAGTATTGTTGAACTCTTCAACAGACTACAATAAACATGCACCTGTAGGATATTCTGGGAAATTGGTACCAGCTTTCTGAAACACAGTTAATTTCCTGTTTCTATTCAAGTTGGTTTAAGATAATCCCAGATAATCAATCTCATAGAATTGTAGAAAGTAACAATTCTGTAGGTAAACGAAACACTCGATTGTATCATTCAACAACCCTTCAATACCCTATAAAAATAACCGTGAGTGAAGTCTTTTTGGTGGCTAGCAGTGAAACCCAGGAAATGCGTTTCAACCGGATATACCTTTACTCTAGTCAGTGATATTGTTCCCACTGAGACCTTAACCCAGTATCCATCACTCGAAATGCCAAACCCGTAGTGCGAGTGGTGATTCTCGTTCCCCCAGTGGCCTAGTGGATAGTCATTTGGGGTTTACAGCGATGGATACTGGGTTCGAGTCTCAGTGGGAACAACATAACTAATCACTGGAGGGGGCAAGTACAACCGGTTGACGACCCTCAAGCCGGACAAAACCCACTTCCTAGATTCCACAGCTAGTCACCAAGTAGACTACACTCAGTAGGCAATGAGCCACACCTGTTTTTTGATACTATCTGGTCGCCCAAACATCAGCAGGTGGAGCAAGGCTCGAACCAGTGACTTGTCACAGTCACAGCTCCCCTGTAAACGCGATTAACTCCGTTCAGATTTTAGCCGAGTGGCAGAACTGGTTTCATACAATGTAAATAAAAATGTGTGCGTACAAAATATCGATGAAAATTCACAGTTTATTAGTACCTGTCAGCAAGGTGTCGTCATAATTATCAACACAGGACCAGGCATTATTGGTTAACGGTCTAAGTTGCCACATACCATGTCAACCCACCAAATAATGAAACAATAAGATGAAAGATGAAGAAATAGCGAAGAGTAAGTCAAGAGCAGTAAGAGAGAAGGAGGAATCGGAAAATGGTGAATTCAGTATACCAGTTAAGATGAAGATAATGCGTGAATACATCTGCGCCACGTACATCGATTCTAAGCCATATCTAAACACTAGTCTCTGTTGTCACATGAACCCCAACCGCCCAGTCTTCTTCTTCCTACATGGCACAGATCAACAGCCAAGGATTTTATACAATGTTTCAGTCTAGCTGTACCTAACGCTTTTCTAGCCTAGATCTACTGCAGCTAAAATTGTACGACGAGGCAGACGGTGACTAGGCATGCACAACACATGTTCCAGACACTTCAATCAATGAAGATTTACGACTTTATTCACTGACGTTTCTATCCTCAAAACTTCGGCGTTACTCATATAGTGACGCGATGACACACAGCCCATACTACGAAGGCAACAATGGTCAAAACCTGAAGCCTTCTCATATCCTCTACTTCAAATGGTCATGTTTCATATCCCTGTAGTAAAACAGAGCGAACTGCAGCGCAGAGCACTCAACCCTTAATAGACAATCGAATATCATGGCGGTTAGATAGATGGTGTGAGTTGGGGAAGGTCGACAAAGCCTTTTGTACCCGTGTATAGATTTCATCAGTCACTGACCAAAACAAAAGAACTGGTCTGATTTCCCAAGTAGGTGAAGTAGTCGACACACTCAACCACTTCACTCTACATTGTTAGTAAGGGTACCGCTGACGTTCAGTCCTAAAACAACGGTTTGAATTCGGATGTTTAGAAAGGTATCCCGTCCATTCTCAAATTGCCACTCAACGTGTAAAGAAAACTCTGCATGTTATCCGCGTCTTCAGCAAGCCGTAGGAATGTCCGACCTACAAGGAATCAATGTCCCAACTAAGAGTTCAATCTATATCACAATAAGAACTGATACCAGTAGGCTACACATACTAGAAGTGATGATCCTCCTGTGAAATTGAATCATGTGAGACGAATTAATTGACAGATAGTAACCAATATTGTATTAAATTTTCAATTCTACCTGATCTATTAAAACTGTGAAGCCTTACCTCAGTACACTATAATTGGCGCCAGTCTATTTATAAATATTCCATTAAAAGCAGTATATTTCGGTGGTTTTTAGTTAAATATTAGTGAAAATGAGACCTGATAGTTTTTTTGCTTTATCCAAATAAAAGCACTCAAAATCAAGTTACAGCATAGGATATTAGGGTATCATTTCTCTCATCCTATTGGTTTACATCAAATGCTTCGATTAAGAACACGATTGGCAGCTGCTACCTTGGTGTGGTGGTCGAGTGTTGTATATTACAATGACCCAACGAACTGCAGTGACTGAAACGCTTGTTCCTTAGAGGTTCTACCACATCCCATAAATGTATGTTAGATAATGGTAAGACAAAAAAGAAGTTACTGTTGTCGTTTAGATTACTACGTTCTGAAGCGGGTCTGAGGACAAAGTCGTATTGGTGGCTGGAAAGGGATGTGATAGCCGTAATTTGATTCCCTAGGATGGTTAGTAGTGCCAAGCTGCAGAATGGTCTTCCGGTACCGGTGGAAAAGGTTTTCTCTGACTAAATCTAAACAAAAAAAAATACGAAAAAGGCTGTATGTGACAGACCTCAAGTAGATGTTGTATAGGTCCCATGGTCACACAAATATTTTTTCTCTTTTAGATGTCCTAAAAAGACATTCACCTACCACGGTGTGAGCAGTCGGGAAGTGTCAACTAGTGGGACGTTTCCAGTAGTATATCAGTTCTATCTGTCTGTCTTGACTGGAAATAGCAGGGCAAAGATTGGACGCCAGGTGTTAAAAGCTGATATTAAAAAAATAATCTCTGTCTGTATTAACCTCAGTATGTTTCAAACATTACGGTTACATTATTTCACAGTATATGTTTAGTTGGGACTTAAGTTCGGCATTTACATGTTTGAAAACAAGAACTTACAGTCAACTGAAGTCGGCGTACTAAATATCCATTGTGTTTCTCCAAGGACAATACACGTACACTAATATTTCCAAATGTTTTACTATCTCCAGGCAATGATATAGACTGATAAAAATGTAAGCATCGGTCGTTAGATAATTTTTGGTTGATATGATTGTCAATTTTACTGTCAGTAGTATAATTAAATATAGTGTTACTACTGTTACTAGTATTATTGTCAATTATAGAAGATTGTTCTTCAACACTGGCTATACCGCTATCATGTAACCGCTTTGCTGTATACTCTCCACTATTGATAAGTGCAGTCGATGTAGGCATCATTTTGTCACTGATTACAGAAATATCGGTTGCAATAGTGGTGGTAGCAGTAGTAGTGATAGTATTCCCATCCATATTCAACTGTTCACAATAATTTGATGAAGTTGAAGACTGAGTAGTGAAAGGTGATAACGTTGAAGGTAACAATGAATTACTTGAACAATTTTTAATACTTGAAGAAGGTAGTATATTTGCTGTGGAGGCGGATATAGAAGATGGAGTACTGTTATTAGGACTGGGATTATTACAACTATTATTATCAGTTATATTGATAGCAGTAACATCAGTTTCACTTGTGGTAGGATTACCTCTAGAATTACTGTCATTACTAAACACCATATTGTTGAAAGATTGATCATCGACAAAGGATAATACATCGTTTCCAGAAGAATCAGGTAGATAGAGTTCACATTTAACCTGATAAGAAAAAGCAAAGCGAAGAAAACATATTTCAGTAAAATTCACATATAACTAGATGTAACATCAATGTAGTTCGAGGTTTATGAGGATTTTATTTATTTAAAGGTAGTAGTATTGATCACAGACTGACATCGATTGGAGAATCATTGAAAATCTGAGAGTACTAAACAGCTGTTTCGCCCTAGTGTAGGACTCAACCATCGACCGAACTTCGGGTCTGCAGGTCCAGCAAATCGAGAATGCAAATCATTGGGTTTCGGCTCATTAGCTGAATGGTTAACGCATTCCATGCAAGACCTGAAGTTTTAAGCAAGTTCGTCCGTCCCCTGATGGGGTTACGGCTGTGTACTGCTAAAGAATCGTATACGACGACAAAACAGCTGTTCAGTGCTGCCCAGATGCTCAATGATTCTCTAAATGATGTCAAGCTGTCAGATGCACAATTCATAAGTAATTCTAATTTGATAAGAATTGCATTAGGATTTATTGATTTTAAAATAAACATACGTAGTCTTTGTGATACTCCATACTCATCAACAAGATCAATTTACAGCTAGACGGTAAATTGTGTCCACTTTAATAACAACATAATATTATCCGCAATTTTTATCGATCTACAACAGATATCTACTTTAAGGCTGGGAATAATAAGCAAAAGTTGACACTGAATGATGATGAATGAAGGTGAAATGAAAACCTGGTCCCTGGTAGGTTTCGAACCAACAACTTCCGACTTGGATACACTAATCATCCTTTTTAGCATGGTCATAACAAAATAAAACGTCTATCCATAAATATAACCTAGACATTGTGTTTTATAGGAGAAACAGTAGTCGGAACAAGTTATTTTGATAGACAGCGTGACTCTATGGGCTATCATATTTAGTCAACTTCGCATAAACAACAATGTAAAAAGTTGTTTAATACTTGCAATCCCACCATTATTATACTGGGTCTAATCGCTCGACTTCTGTTAGCGGATAGATTAGAACTTAAGCAGATGATCCAATACTTCCCGCTGACGAGTTCTAAACGAGGGGACGAAACGTGTATTCTAGATTTTACTGTTAACCACTAAGTGGATTACAAAACAATGCAAGCAAATAAACTGAATTATTCTTCATCGTCTATTACTTATTTCCTACATGAAAATAGAACACACAAACACATAATAAATAAATGTCTGAAATGAGTAGGAAAAAAAACGACAGTTTGGGTGGTTCATAGCCTACAAAATCTGTTGTTTCTTCTCTCTCTTTCTTTTGCCTTCTATTCTTTTTTCGAACAGAAAGAAATACCAATTCATTTACTTACTATAAGCAATGAAATAAAACATAGTAGAACAGGTTACACTTTTAGTTGTCTGGAAATCAGTTGCTAACAATGTCACTTGAAAAATACTTATTGAGTAAAATTCACATATTTTAAAGCTAACTGCCTGACTGTAACTATTTCAACACCACCACCAACAACAACAACAAAAATAAAGTTATTACAGCACCGAAAAATAAAGAAAATGAATGAATTTAGTATAGAATTATGGGTTTGTGAAATGAGTTTGAATAAATTAACTAATTGAAGTGTACTCAACAACCTTGTGCACATTCATGCAGCAGGCAATGCAGTCACACTTAGTGTCAATGTAATGCCTAAAGATATTACTACCTGGCTGTTAAGACCTTAATAGATGGACCGGGATTCGAACTCAGAAGCAATAAATCCACAAATAAACTAGATTATATACATCAATCTTTCTCTACAAATTTCGAGTATCATATCGACAACAAGTGAACAAGATATTTTTAACTTCATCAACTAACATATTGGGTCACAGTTTACTTCGTTGTAAATGTTTTTCATAGTCTGTATACCATCTGTACATTATTTGTTTATACTTAGTACATAGGTTCCAGACTTAGTTTGATGAAAGATACTGAGACGTACGGTTTTTTTTGCCTTGTAATACACATTTATTTTATCAAAGTTAAGCTATATTTTCTCTTCTCTAGGGTTTAAAGCATAGAAAGAAGTAGTAATTAAGTTGATAACGCCGTGCACAATCATTTGAGGTGTCTAGGATATGTGTTATACAATCCAAACCATTTTCTGTCTTAGCATAAGCTATATCATTTGCAGTAGGTTTTTCTGATCGAAGGTTAAAGTTTATCAGAGGGAAGCATAACACCAATCTGTGTAGTCTGTGACTACCGGTTCAAACAGTCTATGGAAACATGAGCTTTCTGTTTGATGTATGCATGACAACGGTAACTGGTGGTTGGAAACTAAATTACATGCCTCAGATTAAATCACAATGGAGGAGATGCAACTACACCTTTTCTAAATCTAAGCTGTAATATCATAACTTTTCTCAACTTTTGGTATTATTATTCTCATTCTTAAATATTTTTCAAGTCTCAAGTTCCCCTTGAAGCCTTGATATGAGTGTTGAATGGATTCAGAGTTATATTATGTCCTATGTTGCTTTACTTCACTTGTATGTTGTATCACAATGACCTAGAAAATAAGTTTAGTTGAATCTGTTCCACTGTCTTCAACTTTTAAAAGCCATCAGAGGTCAACTTTCATTTGCAATGCTTTTACTAATAAACTATCGGCTGGTAATCAAACCAATTTCCAAGTGTAAAATATAGAAATACTTCCATATGTATACGTCAGTCTTTCTCTACAAATTTCTAGTATCAATCATATCAACACCATGTAATTTGGAAAACCAAGAGGAATGAGTAAATATTGGGCAACTGTATATTAACACTTATGAAACTTATCGAAAGACAAAACATGCAGCCTTTAGACAGGTTACATTATCATTCTGGATTATCTGTAAGATAAGTGAGGTCACTGGTTGAAATCTTATCGCTGTCCAGATTTTTTTATTTCATCTCCAACCATCATTCAGTATCAGAGATTTATCTCTTCAGCTCAACAACTTGTATTAATTATACTGATAAATGAATCCATTCTAAGGTTAAAATTACTTTTCTGTCATAGTTTACACCATCTAACTTATCTACACAATTATTCAATAAAGATTATCTATTTCCATGTGACTAGATTATTTTTTAACGGAAGAATATTTTAAATTCTACACAACATATTGAAGTGTGAGATTTGTAGAATAAAATGATATTGACATTTTATTTCATGAATATTCCTTACTCAAATTCATCTAGTAAGCTGTAATCATGGATCATGCAAAACACTTTACATAAAAGTTATTAACTTATATTCTACCGATAAGTTAGAGAAGGAACTGAATATTATTAGGGAGTGTCTCCAAGAGGATGGATATTCTAAGAGGTTAATTATGAAGTGTAGGAAAAAAAAACACGCCGAAAGAATTAAACATCCAACTGATGGGAAGAAGGCTTCTATTTATCTCATATTCAAAGAAGATGTAATATTCGGGAGGACTGATATGAGCACTAAAAGAGTACTAAACTTGTATCATTAATGGGTACCGCATGCTGCCTGAACCAGTTCTATTTAGATAATTACCATGCTTATGTCACCTACAACTTGATTTATGAATTTATTTGCGCTTGTGGTAGCTATTACATTGAAAGTACTGAGAGGAGAGCATCCATTCGGTTCGCTGAGCATATTTTCAAGAATCTGTGTCGGAAAGAAAAGGAGATTCTAACCAATCCAATAGCCAGACACCTCGTACACACATGACATCAGTCTCACATCTGAACTACTTTTAAAATTACAGATGTACAGAAAATGTTTAGATTACTGTGCTTCATGAAAGCGATTCCTATAACCACTTTCAACCTGGCCACTGCACACACAGAACAGTGTACTTAGTCTCTCACTCCACCAGTGAATATAGTTTGATCCCGTTTCGTTTTATTTACATAACTTTACTTACCTATTGTTATCTAGCATCAATTATTTTACTTCCTTACATTTCTTGCCCCTCTTTACAATTAAGTCTTTTATATGTTATGTGGATTAACAATGATTTCGTTGTAAAACTCAACATTACTGAATACTTAATTCTGAATTATCCTACTCTCTAATAACCAGTGTACTTCTAGACTGTATGTACGAAGTTGAAGAAGGAGTATTCATGAAGTAAAATGACATTACATTTTATTCTCTAAACTTGGTTATTCTTTGTCTTTCCAAATTTATAAAGGGATCTAAGTGAATGAAATGTTGAAGTGTGTTGGAACACTGAACAATATGATATCTAATGATACCGAGATACTATTACTCGGGAGCGTGTACTTCAATTTGGATTGCCCAAGTTCTCATAGTGTTCACATTGAAAATAAACGAAGCTTCACAAGCTGGTTATCGTATGTTAGCTGATATAACTTCTCTGAGACTTTCTATCGTCATTAATTTTCATCTAACCTATGACATTTTGAAGCAAGTAACTGCAAAAAAGGGTGTCAACATACGAATAGAACACTCCAAACTGATTATTTATCCTAATTCGAATCTTGACACGAGACCAAGATGTCGTTTAACTTTATCAAGAGCTCCACCAGGCATGATGAAGACAAGTTTACTATCGCATAAGTTTTCTTGTGATTTTCAGTCAGTTTGAAGTTGACTTGAACCTTTAAGCACAGATATGAATGATAAAACTGTTAAGCAACTATTGTGACTCAATGGCCTATTGGATATCATTTTAAACAATCAGTGTTGGGTTTGAGTCCTGGCGGAAACAACGTTACTCAGCGGGAGGCAGGTGCAACCAGCTAACAAATCTCAGATAGGACGAAACGCGCATCTTCGATCCCACTACTAGCCACTACGCATGATGACTATCAGATAACATATTGTTCTCGAACATCTCAGTAGTCATTCTGAATATGTTTACACATGTGACTCCATTAAACCATAGTCATAAAATATACCAAGGCTAAAAGCGAACGATAAATAAGTTTAGGTATTAAATAGTGGTGCGAAGGTCCTTAAAATCTACATCAGCATCTCATCCAGGTTAGAATCAAAAAGGGGATTGTTAAAAGCCCCAAAATCTGTTACTGAATTACTCTTCAAGCCTTCAAAGTAATATGAATGAAATACACTATGAGAAAGAGGCAGTATAATTAAAGCTATTACTGACGAAAGATGGACTAAACTCATTTGAGACAGAGAGTAGATAATTCACACTGAATGTATAGCATGAAATCAATTTCATAATGTCAATCGTTCGTTAGCATAGTATGATAATCACTCTCTCAGCTTGATGTTCATATAGCGAAATGATAGACATAAATCGGTTATTCAATCAATGTATCTAATCCAATCCTACACGGGGTTAGTCACTTCATGAACAGGTCAGTCCATGCTAACTTTACTGATTGCAACACTAGGCAGTTTGATAGATTCGAACGTCAAAGGAGACATCAGCCACCTTGAGGTTGCAGACAACCTCTGCTGATAAGTGTCAGTATTTGCAAAACTCAGAACAAGGATATTCTCTTTGTAGGTACATCTACAAGGCGTTATGTAACCACAAAATGATAAAACAAAATTAAACCATCTTTTTCATTTCAATATCTACGTTTAGGTTGTATGATAATTGTTCAGTAAATTTTACAATGAATCGAAGAAAGATAACGACAGTTCGTAGTTGACATCTGTTTAGTGACGTTTGAAGATTAAAACAGTATTCTTTATCAGGGTCAATAATATCATCACGTAACTGCCCAAAGAAAAGTTGATACCACGATGAATAGCTCACTGGTTGAAGTAGAATGCCTATATCAATTAGCCATGGATTGAGTAATGAGAAACTTAACCGGTCATAAAATTCTATTCTTCGAATGTCTCTCTTTCAATCAGTTATTATGCTCACTAGTGACTTGCTTCGAGATAAGATGATTTCTTGAGGTTCAAATAAGAAGACATGATTGGTAGGGTAAATCAAGTAGGAGGTGAAGATGATACTTGTGGTATATCGTGAATTGATAGAAGTAGGATTCTGACCCAGTGGCTCAGTACTAAAATGTTCACTGAGAGGCCTGAAGGTCGTGGGTTCGACCCTAGCAGAGACATAAATGTGCACCGCAGAGGAGTCTCATAATACGAGGAGGTTGGTACTCATCATGAACCGGCATCAGGTGGAGGAGCATTGAAAACCTGGGGGCACTAGACAGCTGTTTCGTCCTAGTATGGGACTCTTCAACAGTGCACACCAATGACCACCCGCCAGGGATCCAACTCACGATCTTCAAGTTGCTTGGCCAGTAGATTACCATCGAGGCACTGGGTCGGAATCCAATGGTTCACATTTCCAACTTCTTATGATGAAAACCAACTTCTTGAAACCAATAAATCCCCGTAAACACCCAAATCTAGTGCTTATTGGTGACTAGTTTCAAGAAGTGGTTCCTTAAGTTCCAATGCCAGCATGCTGGATACCATCAGTGTATTAGCTCGTATATCTTCATCTTCTGTTATAAGGCATGGTATATCAGAGGTTTCATCCTTATGATAATAACTGATTGATATTAAGGATAACTTTGACTGATGTTCAATTCACACATATATTTCATTTAAGTGAACAAAAAATAACAAAGAATTAAAACTTACTTCTTTATTTTCAACCAATTTTGTAATCATAACAATTGCTGGTGTTTGAGAATACCATATCATACGCCAAAAATCATTTATTGTATGCGGCATAACACCTTGAGTAGCAATAAATGCATTTGGACGACTTTTATAACCCTTTAAACAAATTTCATTGTAATCCAATATGAACAGTTTATATTATTTCGTATGATTTTTTTAGTCACGAAAAAGAAAAAAAGGGAAAGAATTATTATTATTATTATTATTGAAAATACCAATCAAAATGTTAATTTAATTACTTTTAACTATCGATTAAGGCAATAAATCATAATCTTATCTGATAATGATAAATAAAAAAAATTTTCCTTTTAGGTTCAATTATACTAGACAAAACAATGAAGTTGTAACTGATTGGTTAAATGAATTGTGAGTTCAAACACCACTCCACTCCATCAAGGTTAAGGCAGTCAGACAGTATAATTAATCCTCACACAACACGTATGCCTCATTGTCAATTAAATAAATATGTAAAAGGTTACTGGGTGGATTTCGAGAATAAACAATTTAGGAGTGTGAAACAATACAGAAATGAGTGTTTGTTAAGAGATATTTTTTCGATCTATGACAGCTATTCTCTAATCAAGGAAAAATCATTTACAACAATAAGGACAATGGAAATGATAAACTTTAATCAATATAAGAGTCAAACTTGGGCATTGTGGTAGATTTGTTTATTTGATTTATAACACAATGTGATAGAATATTATTTACTTGATGATGTTTCGAGCATAAATTATTACTACTTATAATCGTATCAATGTAATCACACTCCTTTCGATATCTGATTTTCTGATGGTCCTATCACCTCTTATCCTCTGTTTTTGTTGGTATTAAAATTTTCCATATCTCTGGTATAGGCGCTATGTCATTTCTATTACATGTGCTGGTTGGATGTAGATCCCATGAACAAAGATTCAGTAATCAATCTCTCTCTCTATCTAATTATACTGGACTTAAGTACAGTGGTTTTATCCCACTTAGCCTGTTGTATGGTTGTGTGGTAATGCATGCATGCATGCATTACAGTAACTGAGTTATTTTCTAGATTGTTCATCTTATGCGAGTCTGTAATTCTACATTTAGCTAAATCCCTGTATTTCACTGTTCTAATTACTCCCAACTGGATAGTTTGACCTGTGTATTTGACCTCGAAGTCATTAAATGGTATTTGATAGATTAGATTATTTTGCTTAATTGGTTCTATCAGATCTTTCAGCCGACCGACAAACTTTATCTTTGAGTGAGTTTTTAGGTTTAAATGCCACCCTAATATCAGGATTATTGAGGATTCTATGTAAAGTTTCTGATGTGCCTTCCTTGTAGGGTAACACAATACAGACTTACAACTCCTTTCTACTTGTGTTGTCGTTATTATTCCTACTCATGTTACTGTTATTATTTCGTTTCTTATGTGTCCGTACGAATTTCTTAATAAACTGTAGAGGATAATTATTAGTTGTTAGCGCTTCTTTATGTGCTGATAGTAAGTGGTAAGTACAATTCAATTCACTCACGAGGTAGAAAATGAACAAGGAGAATTACCTATGCTGGATTGCAGGATGAAACCAAGGACAGACGGTGGTTCGGATACTACTGTGTGCAGGGAACTGACACATTGTAACAGATTTCTAAACTTCAAGTCGTTTTACCCAATATCAGTTAAGGCAGGTTTAGTCAAATGTCGAAATGACAGAGCTAGAAAACTGACTAGTCAGTGCAAGGACTTAAACAAGGAACTGAATCTTTGTTTATCGAATCAACACCCAACACACGTAAAAGTAATGACGCAACACCTATACCAGAGATATGGAAAATTTTACTACCAGCAAAAACAGAGGATAAGAGGTAATAGGACCATCAGAAAATCAGATATCGAAAGGAGTGTGATTACATTGATACGATTATAAGCAGTAGTAATTTATGCTCGAAACATCATCAAGTAAATAATATTCTATCACTTTGTGTTATAAATCAAATGAACAAATTTAATATGGAATAAACTTTGATACTCTCCAAAGTTAGGACTGACTCATATAGAAGTTTTTTTTAACTAAACGAGATATGACGGTTTCCAAGCCAACGATCCTATATTTGTGCAATCAAATTTCGGGAAAAAAAATGACCACAACTGGATGCTACATTAACCGTGGAGTACCAACAGAGAGCATAATCAATAAATGTTTGGGTTATGATAGGCAACAGAGTAAATGGGAATCAACAGTACCAGTCATCAGCCGTTAAAGTAGAAGTTTTATATTTTAATTTTTATTTCATGTTGCTGTATGGTTGGGAAAAAGCCTATTGGATAATTTATCTCACAGCTGACCAATCAGAACAAACTAATTAACTTTTGAGACAGTGGTTTTAAATTTTCATGAAAACTGTATATAAATGATGGATTTTTGTCAAATAAAGTGCTTTCTTTAGAGTCCCCCGGTTGGTCTTTGTTTTCTGATTGTCGTGGCTCATTGAAGTTCCAGATACCTAGGGATAACAGTCACTATTCGTATACAGTTCAAGTGTCTCATCGCATTAGTATCGTTTGCGTACTTCTTGTTATTCACTCAATCATTTAAGTGTACGTATATTCTACTTGTTAAACTCCCAAAGAATGGAGACCTAAGCCTTTGCAAGAACTGGCGAGGAACATGCTGTTGTCCACCCAAAGCAAAATATTATGCCGCATCATACTGGAGAGACTAAACAGTGCGCTCGATTCAAAATTACGACCGGAACAGGCTGGTTGGATTCAGGAAGAACAAATCATGTACCGATCAAATCGCAACGCTGCACACCATCATTGAACAGAGCATAGAATGGCAGTCAACTCTCTACCTTACCTCAACTTCATCAGTTTTGAAAAGGCCTTCGATAAGGTCAACCAAGAAGTAATTTGGAAACTGCTTCAATACTACGGAGTGCCACAAATTTTTATCAACCTCATTCAACAGCTATATGAAAATGCCATATGCCAAGTGATCCACAATGGAAAGCTCAGTGACGCTTTCGAAGTGAAGACGGGAGCAAGACAAGGTTGTCTACTATCACCGATCGTCTTCCTGATGTGGTCAACTCAAATGAGCTGGATCATACAACAAACTGTGAGCAGCGAGAAGACGGGCGCACGCTGTTTGGCTGATGAAAAGACCTTAGGAGATTTGGATTTCTCCGGTGATGATTTATATCTAGTGTCACACAAACTTGAAGATCTACAGATGAACACAAACAAGTTGGCAGAAGAGGCAGGGCAGAGAAGACGGGACTGACTTCAGGTGAACGTAGAGAAGACAGAGGTGATGAAGATACTTAACCAACAACAACAACAACAAACATCAATCACCATCAACGAGAGAAACCTAAAGGAAGTAGTCTCTTTCACCTACGTAGGCAGCACCTTTTCAACTACAGGCGGCACAGATGAGGATGTCAAAACCAGGATCGGAGAGACAGCAAGACAGGCTTTCATTAATCTGAAATCAGTGTGGAGATCCACTGCACTGCACTCAGCATTAGGGACAAGATCCGGATTTTCAGCACTAATGTCAGTCAAGTTAGTGCTTCTCTATGTGGTTCAGAAACTTGGCACGTCACGAAAAGCACTCCCAACAGACTGCAGACAGTCATCAACAGCTGCCGCCTACACTCGCTCGATACTGAAGATTAGATGACCAGATAGAATAAGCAACAAGGAACTCTGGCAACAAACCAACCAATAACCTATCACCCAAAAAATATGCAGAAGAAAGTGAGGATGGATAGGGCATACACTGAGAAAACCATTCGGGGACATCACGCGCCAGGCCAAACCATCGAGTGGAAGCCAAATGGGAAACGACGAGTTGGGTGTGTGAGGGTGACATGGAAATCGTGTGAGGAAGAAATAAAAGCTTGTGGGCAGTCGCGAAGCGAGGTTCAAAAGACTACAGAGAACAGAGTGCAACGGAGGCGTGCTACTGAAGCCCTATGTTTCACTAGAAACCCAAGCGGAAATAATAATTATAACATCTTACTTGTTAATTCACCTCCCATTTGAGATTTGGAAAGGGAACATTACTCACAATGGTGTAAACTACAAAAGAATAGTGGTCATTTTCATAACTTCAGAAAGAAAAACTTCCAATGAGCTCTAAATTTTTTAAAATCTCCCTTTGATTTTCTATCAATTCTGCTTTTTCCTAGAGCAGCTTATTCAAATCCATAAACTTTTTCACTAGAAGTAAACAGCTTAGATATACCGAACACTATATAAGGTTTGTAGTTAAGGCATTCTAATTGTAGGTAAAACTCTTCAGTTTTATGTAATAAGTCTCATCTGTTGAGACAATATTGCTGTTGATCACTGGTTTGAATCCTACCGCAGCTTAGATTTTCATTTCACCTTCACGATCATTACCAAATATCAATAATGTATGTAACGACCAATGAAATCTGAAAATTTCAAAGATGAACAGTATGTACATGAAATTCATCCATATGCTTAACTCAACAAACCAGGAAAAGCATAAGGAGATATGAATGCAGTATACAGCTTAGGTAATGTAAGGGTAAAACTTGGACACTGTGGTAACGCAAAATTTTATAAACATTTTCATTACTTGAGATAGCTGATTGAGCAACGAGGTCCTCAGTAGCTCGTAGCTCAAATGGTACAGCATCAAGCTAGAAACCCGGTAGTCGCTGGTTTGAATCCAGCCGGGGTTCAAACTTTCATCTCACCTTCATTCATTACCTAGTGATGTAATATTATTTCTGGATGACGACGTTTCAAGTAGAATTAACTCCTCATATTGATATCGAAGTAATCATATAACTTTTAAATTTCCTTTATATAGTTTAACATATATCTGCAGTGTGATAAATCACTCCTATTGCATATATTCAATGAACAAAGATTCTGTGATCAATGTCTCTCTCCACGTAGAGCTCTACATTAGACTCTAGAATTGTTACCCTATATTACATTATAGTGTGGTTATGCGTCAGTGCATGCAAAGCGATAGACGAGTTTGTCTCTAAATTACTTAACTTAGTAAAGTCCAACATAATATGTTTCATTAAATTTTTATCCTCCACTGTTTTAACTGACCCTCGTCAGCTGCTTTAACTTATCAACTTGATTTCACAATCATAACATGGAATTTGATAGACATTGTTATTTTGCTTGATTTTTGTCTCTACTGGATCTTTTAACCTACAAAGTCTTCTTCTATCGGACTATATGGAGAAGGTTTGAATGTTGTATAATTTACTTGAACAGGAATATGAAAAATAAATTTCTGCACAAAACAGCATCCAGTCAATAATACTGTATCATTACGTGCTATATCAAATAAAAAAATCTAATATAACTTAGGAAAGCTTAACCAGATCACTTAGGATTACAACAATGAAAAGGCATGATAAACTTATCAGCTGTTGAGACATTAATTAATTTCTTGATGTTACTTGTGAAAGATAAGGGAACGGGGGGGGGGGGGGGCGGAGGTAATAAAACTACCAAGAATCAGTTAGGCTAAAATTTAGTGTTGCATAATCCTTAGGCGACTGTACAAAAGTCTTCAAGAAAAGAGTTTAGCTTGCGACTAGAACTTTAAAATTTTAATCAACAACATTAAGAATTCGTGAGATTTGGTAGAGATGCAAAATTTTTATCATACAGACAAGACCGAAGTATAGTGAACAGTGAACACCTGCTGAAATTTCTAAAAATTAACATTACTTTCAGAATTACATAAATTCTATCTACAAGTTCAGATACTCAACGCTCACCATTAATTATTCGAAGAATCATAGCAGATTAACTGCATAATCGTGAGATGCAATATAGATAAAATGTGGTCACAGGTGTCATATCTATGTTGACATTTATGCAAGATTACATGAAAGCGAAGTCAAAATGCTCACAGCACATTCGTACAGTAGGCAATAGGCCACATGTATTGTGTAACAGCTTATGATACTACCTGTCTGTCCAAACCTTAGCAAGTGGAGCAACGTCTGAAAGTCAACTTGTTAAACTATTCAACCACAGTTAAATAGGCAAAATAAAGTTAATAAGGCAATCTTGTTTCCAATCAACGATGACAGTAGATAGTTGACCCAATAGACGGTGTATTATGAAGACTTACAGTCTTACAGCAAACCCTGTCTTCCGCAGTAGGATTTCACGCTCAGTCATAATAAATAAACATCTTTTGTGTAAAAATCAAACGAAATACACAATAAAGGCTTCTTCATTAAACGGGAACAGTGTAGAATAATGAAATAATGTTTTACCATATCTTTGCAAAAAGTCTTCGTTCATAATTTACATCTTTGTATAAAATCATTTCTTCGGTAAGACTGTCTGACATAATCTAGTCGTGATGATGACTGAAAGTTAAATGAAAGCCTGGTCAACAACTTATTCGCGTTACTTGGTTAGTAGATAAGTCACTTAATGATGACTAGCAGTGGAATCCAAGAAGCATATTTCATCCTACTTGGGACTCGTCAGCTGGATGTATCTTCACCCCGTTGAGTGATATGGTTCCTAGTCAAAGTCGAACCTCATACCCATCGCTACAAACACCAAATTATTATCCAAAAGGTCAGTCAGGTACGAGAATTACTTCTTATATATAACGGGTATTGGCTATTACTATTAGTTCAATTTTGAGATTTGTACAGATTTATTGATTTCAAAACCGTATTCGTTATGGAATGACATCAGATAGAGAAACATCAGAAACCTGGAAGTAGTGGACGGCTGTTTCGTTCTAGTATAGGACTCCTCAGCAGTGCGCACCCATGACCCCAATCCGCCGGGGATCGAACACAGGGCCTTCGAGTTTCATAGTCAGAAGGTTACCATTGAGCCATTGGATTGGAATCCAGTGTAATAACTAATTACTAGAGTGTAGAAGAGGCAACCGAAAGGCTGCTAGTTCAAATCCTTTCATAAGTCAATATTCAATTCATCTTGGATCATCAAATTGTATAATAAAATCTATTAGCAATATTATTAGTAAATTATATAAACTCGAAATGATAACTAAGAAGCAATAATGTTTTGGCAAATATATAAAAAAAACAAAGAAGATATTCACATTCATAAATATATACACTTACTCTGATGTAATTTGCATTAATATAGCTAGAGGTCAAATCATTATTCACTACAGGGAGTATAACACGTGTTGAAAAATCTGAGAAGGAAAGAAATACAAATCATCAACATATTGTTGATAATAATACCAATACCAATAATAATAATAATAATAATAATAATAATAATAATAATAATAATAATAATAACATCTCTAACGTGTTATGAAATCAGCTACTCGGTTTAACTTACTTCTCACTTTGAACAAAAACGACTAGCAGATATTACTAATGAACAAACTTGAGTAGCTGGAAACCATTCAGACTCTGCCAGCCAGATTAGACCAATATAAACACCAAATGGTCATTTACACTCGTTTGGGGCCAGGATCACCAGGGGTATCCCAGGAGGAGTCCAGTTAATAGAGCCGAATTAGCTCTGATAGTCCAAATCTGGCTGGCTGACAGATGATTAGGCTTTTTCAACTGCTAAACTATGGTGTCAACAAGATGTCAGCTGGAAACTACTCAGCGTAGACCGTGAAAACTGTTAGGAGTTTGCAAATTGATCATCCTTTTTTAAATATATTGGTCCATGCAAGTTAACTAGCCAGATTGAACCGAACTTGAGTGACTTCTAACTACTCAACTTGTTTGGCAATAGTATCTCTCGCTAATTCATGATACTTTTGTGTCAGAGATCGCATCTTATGATCTTGGTTGAGTACTTTCCATCAGAAAGCTTGTTCACACTACAGTTCGGCAGTTGAAAAAAGCTACTCAACTGTGAGGAATGTCGATATGGAATGTGCAATTTGTAAACCATTTTCAAATTGATCATAAACAACCGTAGGAAAAATCTATGAAGTATGATTTTATCTTCCAAAAATCAACAATATCTTCAACTCAACAGCTTGATTCCTTGAAAATACTGTCGTAGTTGATGATGAATACAAGCTGCGAACAAATCTAACTGTAACCATGTTGAAGTAGCATTTAGCAAAGTCATAAATATGTTAAGGATGGATCGTGGCTAGCAGTGGAATCCAGGATGCGCATTTCGTCCTATTTAGGACTCGTCAGCTGGATGTACCTGCATCCCAGTGAGTGATGTTGTTCCCACCGGGATTAGGGACTTGGGAGCGATCGCTTCAAACGCCAGCGCGTTATTCACTACACCACTGAGCCACGATAGCCGCTTCTTGTGCGACGGGTATAGTTTTTAGTACAAGGGTTTTTATATGATCCATCCTTAACGTAATTAGATTGCCGGCAATATCGAGGCATCCGCACAGGAGCCCATATGCTAATAGAGACCGATCAATTCGGTCCAATCAACGGCGGTATCATTTAAAAACACTTATACGAAAGTTATAAGTATACTTTATAAGAAATTCTCTACGTTTAAAAACAATAATAAGTGATAAGTGAAGATGAAATGAAAGCCTGGCTTGTGCGTAGTGCTTCGAATGATGTCAAGTTATTGAACTAGCGAAACAGATATCCTGTGGCTGAATGGTTTAGGAAGCTGACTTTCAACCAATGAGTTATGAATAAATTCGAACACAGCTCCACCTACATACGTTTGGGTAGCCAAGTAGTATCCTTAACCCTCGCATAGAGTAGAAGTGTGACTCATTGCCAATCGCGTTAAACGTGAACAAGGTTGCTGTGTACATTTCAAATGTTTCGGCTGCTAATCCACAAGCGTTCTATTCAAAACTTAAACTCTGTCAGTTTCTAAACTACAAAAATAAATTAAAAGGAGAGAGTTAATTACCCTTAATGAACAGCGTGAAATCCAGGACTGGTATAAAATTTAAGACAAGAATCTCATAACTAACACAAAGTCTCATATAACTGACAAAATCAATATAGAACCTCGCACACAAGTGCATCAGCTCAAGTCGCCACACTTCACAGTTGTACACAAATAACAGGTGGATAGAAAAGGAGTGATATCAAAGAAGATAAAGTAGTGTGAGACAATAAACAATCTGAAAATAAAGGTTAGTGTGAATATTCAAACTTCAGAAGATGTCAGGGAGTGAATACATCTGCGCCATTGTCACCGATTTTCAGCCATCTCTCTTAAAGTCTTAAGTCTTAAAACCAATGATTTCTATAGTCTCGGAGACTTCAACCAGGTATATTACATCTCACCACACGACTCATAAAGAGTTAGAGACTACATCGACTGGTGCCAGGTGTTCGTCAGATCACTCTAAACACTCTTCCAACCTAGTCCGAATTCCCCTAGCATTGCACGTCGAGGTAGGTGGTAGATGAGTATACACACTATATGTCCAAGCCGTCTCAGTCGATTAAGGATAGCAATCTTATCAATCAACTTGCCTGTCTTATCTAGTACCCTTTCCCTGATCTCATCATTGCTCACAACGTGATTCTAGCACACGTGAGAAGTGCGATAAAGACATCATGTCGTCTACTTTTAACGGCCATGTCTCACAGTCGTACAACAGGACAGAAGAGACTGCAGCGAAGCATACTCGTCTTTTGATAGATATTCGGATGTCTTGCCGGCGGCATAGGTGATACAAGTTGGCAAACGACAAATGGGCCTTCTGTATCGCAGCTGATAGTTTGTTACCAACTAAACCATTCGGCCTGATGCAAATTCCCAAGTGAAGTGATAGATACATCCGACCACTCTTATACTATACTATTTCTTAGTCTGAAAGCGCTAACAATGGATTCAAGGGAAGCTATTTGAAGGGAACTGTAGGAATGATAAGAAAGACAAGAGAAACAAAAATAGAATGGGAGGGAAAGACGAGGGGAGATACTATTGAGGAGGAATTCGTCAGTATGAATGCCGAAGCAACACCTAGAATAAAGTTGACTTGCAAACAACTTATTCTATACCAAGTAGGCAGATAAGCACAAGATAACAAACTAATTTAAATTGAAAATGTCGTATTTAACTAAAGTTCCACTTCAGTTTTCGACTCAGATCCAAGTTCCAGATAGGTTTTCAGATCTAGAGACGTTCCGGCACAAACCTAATGGGACGCTCCTCTCACCAAAGCATCCGCATGAAAACGAACACTGCTGCCAGTGCATTCTGTTAACACCTCCCTCCTAGGCTGATCAGCTTTATCTCAGAACCCTCTCAACTGTCAAACTTCAACGCATTCACACTCGCCATGTAATCAGTTCGCCGACTATACTTACCTACCCCCTCGACAGACGTGCGTGAAACTCATCTAACAGAAGTTTCCTCAATCTTGCCGACCTAAGTGCAGCTCACCCTACCCAAAAGATATTCTTCTAGGAGGTCTTACCCGTGAATCCATAATGCCAACAGATTCACAGTGGTGGCTTCCTTCAAGCTACTAGATATAGCGAAGACTAGGATTAAAGATACAGCCAGTTAGGAACGAATATCGCTCACTTTCACGAAATAAACTTTCAAAACAATGACTACCACAATTAGGGAGTTGAATTCACCTTGTCTTTCGGTTACACTTCTCCCACTACACTGCACAGAATCCTGGAGAATTACAAAACCGTCCGTGTAGTGGAGACGCGTATCACTGATCTTGTTTGCACATATGGATCTCGTCGGCTGCAATTTTTGTCAACTTGGTGGTGTACTACTAGTCGATATCCATTGAAGCCTTAACGAGGCAACTAAGCTTGATTCATAAGCCCCAGCGCATAATACATCTCCAATTTTTACCAGCCAACACAAACTCAACACCATCTAACCGCACTATGTACAGCTTGTTTACATTGAGGCCGAGAGAGTCATAGTTGTCCCCCATTGGTACATCATTATTAATTTTACAATTACTTTGAATGAATAACTCAAGTTTTTTTAAATAAAGGTAAAATGATATTTTTAACCGCTAGAAGAGGAAAGAAAACGTAGTTTGTAAAGAGTAACTCTCACTTATTATTTCACGATCATCATCATCATCCTCATACCAAGTGCGAATAGAATAACTCAAGTGACCAATGGTGGCAACTGTAAAACTTGGCAGAACCACTCAGCTCAAACACAATCAACGAACTATTGGTGCTGAATATTCGATTGCTTCAGCACATTCTGTCAACTTGTCACGTTACGGATAGTTAGTTAGAAGGAATGCTACATTATGTTATGATACTCAGTAAAGTGATACAATAGAGAGAAAAAAACAAATAATCAAACGAGGGAAATAAAGCGAAGCTGATAAAAATCAAAGAGAAAGAGAGAAGTAAGAAGAAAAAAACATGGAAAACAAACGAAGTAAGATGGCAGGAATTCAGTTGTGAGTGGGTGTGTATTCATACAGTAAATGAGTGGGCGGCAGTAGATGATGATGGTTGTAAAAGGTCAGTTTTGAAATAGAAACAATACACACATACAAACATAGAAACACACAGACATATGGACAAGGTATTTGTATAATCTAATACACACCAATGTTGTTTTTTTTTCCTTTTAAACATTTTCTTACATAGTTGTGTATAAAAGCAATACATCAGTAAGTATTTTATTATTTTTATCTAGAATTCAACATTCAATCATTCAAAATGGACTATACAATTTCATAAGCATGTCTATTTTATGTGTGGGCGTGATTATGAAAATGCGTGGGTGGAAAATAATGTTATGCATAAGCTAAAGAAGCAAAAGAAAATACTTCAATACCTTTTGGACAAATACACACACTTACACGTGTACACACGAGTATGAACATATATATACACACACACACTTATGCAGATACATACATACACATACATATACACAAAAATCGCAGAAACAGTGAAGTTAGGAACAGTATTGTGATATACAATGACGATGACGGTTATCAAGAAAAAAAAGGTCAGAGAATGAAAAGAAAGAAACAGTGGAAAAAAGACTTAACAATTTATTCATTTCGAGATCATAGGAAAAAGCAACAAATATACAAAAACACGTTTTTAGTAGGTTTCATTCTACTTCTATTTTTTGCTGTCTGACATTGGAAATCTGATGTCAACCTGTGCTCAAAATTAGTATATCTGTGTGTGTGTGTGTGAGAGAGAGAGATTGACGTAACTTTTAACTTTGAGGTACTATTCATCAACCACGGAGTGATATCAGTTG